TTTTTAAAAAATTTAAAAATTTAATTCAAAAGTAAATGAAATATTTTTTTAAATTTAGGTTTCTAAAATCGTTGAAATTCCCAGAATCTACGGTTAATATGTACATAAATAAGGTAAATTGCAGAGGGAATACGTTTAATTTTTTTTTTCTGTCAAGGCATTAATTTTAATACCGATTTTTTTTTTCTCAAAAATCAAGACAATCATTTTATTCTGATTGTAACTTCATTAGTTTTCATGTTAACGACTTCTACCACCACTCAATTTAAAAGTCTTTTCAAGAACTTTAATAAGTGTTACATAAGTTTTCCTCGAAAAATCTTTAAATTTTCTGCTACAGGACGTTGAACGTTTCAATTATCTCTGAAATTGACTTCAACTTCTGGGAGTCATAACTCGGGTTCTATACCACCTACAAAAACGCAATCTCTTTGCTATTTAATTACCTTCATTTTTGCTTATGATAATTTTTTTGATAAAACTTGTAGTTTTTGAGATATTCGCGAAAAATGGCTCAAAAACATGCATTTTTGGGTTAAAAACGAACATGTTTAGGCGCAAATAACCCAAAAAGTATTGACTGTACACAAAATTTTTAATAGTCCATTTTTGCTTAAAGTTCGTCCTTCTATCGAATCGTGAGGTTATTTTTAATAAAAAAAATCCCACCCTCCATCCACCCCTAGGGCAAAAGCACACATCGGCACTATTTCACGTCAATCCATTCCATCCGAAAAAATTGGTAGCCGAAATGCTTCAGCGACTGGACTGGACCAAAAATCAATAATTTTGCGTTTAACTAAGGACGCCGCGGAACACCGAACCCTTGTCTTTCGTCGCTTCCTCGTACCCCAATATTCGTCGGCATAATGAAGGGGGCCGCGTGGCACTCTTTTCTTTGCAATGCCCCGTCGAGAATTCTTCATTATGCCGCTCGAGCTGGGACACTGCATAAAGTAAACTAGTTATTTTTCGCTGTGCAGGTTGGCTGTATCTCTCCCAGATTTAATTAGTTTTTTTCCGGAATAAAAATATCTCCTCTACGAAAAATTCCAGCAATCTCCGGTCGCGATTAATATTCTCAGGATGCAGAACGTCGTCTCGTCATTTGACGGGATTTTAATTTACAAAATATGCAGAGTAGATTAATAAAATATTTCCTAGTATAGCGCAGAGTAGTTTTTAAATATATGAAGGGTATCCGGAAGCTATGGACAAATTATTTTGTAGGTGGTTTTGTGAATTTTTTCGGAAATTATATATCAACGGGGTCACATAACCTCAACGGACCAATGGACAGACATCTGGTGCGCATTTAATACACTCTTTTGACCTTCAAGGTAGCCCCTAAGCTGTTGTTTTCGTTCTAAAACCGTGAACCCCGCCCTGCACCCATCAGGCTGCACTGGCAACATAAAAGAGGCAGAGAGGCAGGATTTAACTGCCTCATTTTGTGACACCTGCCAACTGTATAATTCACAACACTTAATTTTAGAACTCTGCCCCAGTCAGGCGTCTTTTCAGGAGTAAATCGCTCCTAAATGTACGTTCGGGGAGTTTTTTATTTTCAATTGTATGCCGTCTCAGTCGGAAAAGTTTGGAATTATGCTTTATTAATGACGGCTGCATTGTGTTTAAATGTTTGGGACGACGGATTACTGTTATTTAACAACTAGGACGTAAATGTTGCGCGAAAGGTAATTTCAGAGGACGGGAACGAACCGTATTATTATCTCAGATGAGATAAAATCGTAAAAAGTAGGGTATAGAAGAAGTGCCATACAGGATGTTAGTTACAGCTACGAACGTTACAAAATATCATTTTGTGTAGAAACATATGTTTCGAATAACAAAATGACGAGAGATTTCCTTCATCTAGATCTGAATGAGGATTATAATAGACTAATAATGTGAAAAGCCAATGGAGATGCGATAAAATGAGCCGTAAACAAATTTTTTAATTATTCTTACCGCAGCCAAAAATTAATTTGGGTCCGTAATTATCATTTGTAATTGCTAATACCGCCTGATCCGTCGAATAAACGTCCTTACCGCCCTCCCGGAACCCCTCGAATTATTAAAACCGTCACTTTATATAAACAATTTTCCAGGGATTGGTTTCGCCGCATAAATTATCATCTGAGCGCATTCTTAGGCCAGGAAAATAAGCTGGGAAATGTTCATTTCGCGACTTTTTGTTTCGACAAGCTGAATTTATCACTATGGATGCTAAATATTGTGTACAGTAACATATTAGTTTCCACAGTCATAAAAATGGGGTAAAGATTGTTTACAGGGTGGTTAATTGTATAATTTTTAGGTAAATTCACGATTTTCGCTTATAACTTTTTTCCGTTGATTTCCACAAGAAAACAGTAAAATATATTTTTTTTTCGCCTTCAAAAGACCTACAAAACTAGCCCTCGAGCGTCAAAAAATATTGATTAAATCAAAAGTTATAAACAGAAGAATTTTATTTATGACTTTTGAATTAAACATTTATAAACTGCGTTATTATTACCAGAACGTTTTGGCATCGCATCCTGTCATTCCTTATCACTGTCTAATAACTCACACGAAATCTGAAATCGGTAAGTTGAATAGTTTACAAGTTATATTTTTTTCATGGTATATTTCATAATAATACATTGAAATCTATAATTCTTTTTAAATTTCAAATTTGCAACCTCGAAATTTTTTTTATTTTTTAGCCTTAGTTTCAAAATGAAATATACAACGTACGAGCGTGATCTAGTTATAAATTATTACATATTCGGAAAGCTTATGAAAAGAGCTTTATGCTAAAAAAAAATCGCCAAGATTCGTTGAAAAACAACGGAGTTACAAACTTTCAAAGTTGATGGCCTATTGTTAAACAAATTAGGTTGGTAGCGGCAAAAAAAAATACTGTCATAACCGGCAACCCAAGTACTTTCCCAGGTAAATATATTTTATTTGTGGAAGTATGTCAAGTACATAAGAAATATTTTCAAAAGTCGGTGGGTCGCTTGATTTTCGGCGAGCCGTGGCGCGGCGGAAGGGTAGGAGAAGCGAATCACAGCGAGTCCGAAGAAAATTACGATAATATTCATGGTCCTGCCGTTAAATAAGCGAAATTCGCTAGAAAATAATATATTTGATAGTCTGTAACTCCGTTGTTTTTCAACCAATCTTGACGATTTTTTAACTTAAAGCTCTTTTCACAAGCTTTCCGAATATAGTAATATATAACTATATCACGCTCGTGCGTCGTATATTTCATTTTGCAACTAAGCTTAAAAATAAAAACAAATTCCAGGCTGCAAATTTGAAATTAAAAAAAAAGATGAGATTTCAATGTATTATCAAGAAATCTACTATGAAAAAAATCAGTGCGATTGTGGAAGATCCTCGGGATCGTCCAGACTAATAATTAGTTAATTTGTTTATAAGGCCATAACTTGTAAACTACTCAACTTACCGGTTCCAGATTTCCTGTGATTTATTAGACAGTGATAAGGAATGAGAGGATGCGATGCCAAAACGTTCTGGTAATAATAACGCAGTTTATAAATGTTTAATTNTAATAATTAGTTAATTTGTTTATAAGGCCATAACTTGTAAACTACTCAACTTACCGGTTCCAGATTTCCTGTGATTTATTAGACAGTGATAAGGAATGAGAGGATGCGATGCCAAAACGTTCTGGTAATAATAACGCAGTTTATAAATGTTTAATGCAAAAGTCATAAATAAACTTGTTCTGTTTATTACTTTTGATCTAATCAATATTTTTTGACGCTCGAGGGCTAGTTTTGTAGGTATTTTGAAGACGAAAAAAAGTAGGTAACTTACTGTTTTTTGTGGAAATGAATGGAAAAATGTTATAAGCGGAAAACGTGAATTTATGTAAAAATTATACAATTAACCACCCTGTAAACAATATTTCCCCATTTTTATGACTGTGCGGAAACTAATATGTTATTGTACATAATATTTAGCATCTATGATAAATTCAGCTTGCCGAAACGAAAAATCTCGCCCAACTCTATAGTTCCTGGTCTATCTGTCTGGCTTTGTCTGAAGAATAAATTCAGTGCCGCCGTACGAGGTATATCTTACAGAAAAATTACCCCTTATAATCCGTTTGAGAGTCAAATTAAAGGAAATTTATATTCATACGAGCTATTTTGTCCACGCCGTTGGCTCCGTCAGGGAAACTTAAGAGGATAAGACCCGGTGGCTTCAAATAGCCGCCTCCCCTTAACGTTGCCGAGGTTTTTCGCGATTAACCACACTCTCACACTCTCTCTCATGCCTGAGCAACGACGTAGACTCCCGTTCAAGCCAGATGCATGTGCGTATACGCGCAAAAGTTTTTGTTATCAACCCCGTACAATATGCGTGCCATTATTCTTGAGAACTTGCACGTGGTAGATAAGAACGATGGCGCGTCCCGCGGGTTACCTTGCTTTTTAAGTAGCCAGCCATTGTTTAGCGGGAAAATAAGAAGATGCTTACCTTGGCGAATAGCGGTTGCTGTCGTGGGGAAATAACGGTGATTTATCTTTGATGTACGGGGTCCATTCCAGAACGCATCCTCGGCCAGGTGATTTGCTTCTTGATGGCCGAGGAATCTGGAAGTAAAAGATTGCGAATGTGATCTACTGTTGCAAGAAAATAATGAATGAGGTGATATAATGTAGTTTGGAATGTATATTAATATAAAACACACGCTATGGGTTTGGTTTTATTTTATAGTAATGGCAATGCTTCTAGAAATACACATGGTAGTGTAAAAATCAAAATTTAAGTGTAGCTTCTTGATATTGCAATCAGAATTGTTAGTGAAAGTTAAAACAATTATTTAACAAGAGCGATGGTGGTGTAATGGTCAGCATAGTTGCCTTCCAAGCAGTTGATCCGGGTTCGATTCCCGGCCATCGCATCTATTTTTACATAATCTTAAAAAAATTGTTAGAGGAATTATTAGTGAAAGTTAAATAAATTATTTGACAAGGGCGATGGTGGTGTAATGGTCACAGCATAGTTGCCTTCCAAGCAGTTGATCCGGGTTCGATTCCCGGCCATCGCAGATATTTTTTGCGTATAATCAGAAAAAATAAACAAAACTGAAAAGTGTTAAACTATCCATTTTCCAAACAATATATAGCCCAATCGGGTTGTCATTTAACCTGGAAAAAATTAGGCACTACAATTTTATTGTTCTAACCTTTAGGTGGGCTCAATAGTAATGTAGAAGTTGTTGCAAATGCGATTTCCTACAACTTCCTTTATAACAAATTTTATCGTGAGATCGATATTTTTCAAGTTAAGGGGGAAAATAGTGACAAAGTATAATTATTGAATTATCTCGTTTGTTATTGACTTTACGACATAAATATACATAAACAAAGTTGGAAAGAATTATATTTTCTACAATTTTGGTCTCTTTGATTTTTTCGCTACTACCAACATTTAAGGTCCTACGCCTATGGCAAGCCTAACTAAACTAAAGAGATCAACATTCCATAGGCCTGACGTCTCCGCAAGCGTAGGACCTTAAATGTTGATAGTCGCGAAAAAATCAAAGAGATCGAAATTGTAGAAAATATAATTCTTTCCAATTTTGTTTATATATATTTATGTGGTGAAGTCAATATCAAACGAGATAATTCAGTAATTATACTTTGTCACTATTTTCCCCCTTAACTTGAAAAATATCGATCGCACAATAAAATTTATAATGAAAGAAGCTGTAGGAAATCGCATTTACAACAACTTAAGTCCTTACCATTTTTGTTGTAAAGTTGAAAATGGCCGAGATATTGAGCAAAAACGATTTTTCCTTAAATTCAAGATGGCGGCTGACGCAGAGGTGGAATTCAGTCGCGATTCTGAATTTACACCACTATTGACCCCCCTAAAGGTTAGAATAATAAAATTGTGGTCCCTAATTTTTTCCCGGTTAAGCCCTTTTTTTTGTCTAACACGACTGGAGTAATAAGCTTCCGTTGGTGTGTCGAACGGAGGGTCCTTCTAATTTATTAAGACTTCAGGACCACGTAGTCTATTATGGAAAAGGAAAGTAATTTTGTAAAGACAAACAGAAATGAAGTGAATTCTAAAAAAAAACTTCAGTTCTACAATAGTGAAGGTAAAAAAATAAGATGAAGACTTAAGCGTGAGGGTATTTCTTAGCAAAAGCAGTTAAAGAAACGGTCATGGAAAATCTACATTTAATTGGTTTTTAGTTTGTCTGACTTAGTTTTGTATTGGGGTCAAAATTAGATGACCATTTAATGACGTCTTTCTTTCTTTACTTTCATATTATGCGAAGGAGAAGAAGATATAAGCGATGGTGGTGTAATGGTCAGCATAGTTGCCTTCCAAGCAGTTGATCCGGGTTCGATTCCCGGCCATCGCATCTGTTTTAAACAATTTTTAAAAATAATTAAAGAAAATTATACCAAAGTCGTAACTAGTATGACCCTGATAAAATTGTGACCAAACCAATGGAAATACTACAATATTAGTTTATCTGGAATTTTGTTTTTTTTTTTGAGAGAAATAAAGAGCTCTGTATTGACTTTAATTTTTAAATTTTTAATATTTTTCTTGTCTTCTTCGTAAGTGTCTATTGTGAAATTTTCCCAGTAATAACACTGAAAAAGTGAATAAATACTGAACAGATCAAATTTAAATATCCTCATGATAGTTTTATTTGACACGGTTATTTTCCAGCTCGAAAATATGACGAAATGAATTCTGAATAAATATAAATACCTCTGCTCTGCAACAAAACGCCATAATAACATTATTTGGACAGTTCCCCGACACTGTAATGGCTAAATTGTGTTTTGCCCAGCAAAAACCTATTTATTTTAAATATATTCATATAATCCGGTTTTATTGTTTATTTGCGCTAGACAGTGGAGCAAAATTTTAGTATCAATACACAAGGGCCGCTATAAATTTTAATTTTATAATCTCTTAACTGACACAAAATTCAAATTCTACCAACTATGGATATTTTACTGTCAGTATTAAAGTTGTCAGTGAACTCTTTGGTACGAATTACCATTTGTCCGATATATCTGCATTTGTAGGTTATAAAAATGTGTATTTTTAAATGAAAAAAAAAACAGTTTAATGTCACAGAAACGTTAGTCTTAAAATTTTAAGGGAAATTAAATTTTTTTCAGGTGAAAGGAAGATAAAACAAAAAAGAACGATCAAACAAAAACAGCATTAATTTAACTATTATTCAATGTACCCTACTGATTTTCTCTATACTTACTATTTATAGTATCTTTGAGACAATAAATGAACTGAAACTTTATTACTTTTGCTTGAAAAAAAGCTGCGATGGCCGGGAATCGAACCCGGATCAACTGCTTGGAAGGCAACTATGCTGACCATTACACCACCATCGCACTTGTAGATAACTTTCCTTCTCTAAGAGGCGATCATATTCATTAAATTTTATTTACATAGTTATATTATGGCAAAAATTATTAGCTAAATTGAGTTTTGCGCTGTTTTAGTACATGGGATAATAAATTAGCTATAAAACCATGCTACAAATAATCTGTTTCCTTGTGTAACATAAAAGTATTAGTGGACAAGTTTTAGACAGATTTGTTCTTTTTTTTTCATTAAAATTTAGACCACCCCACAAATACACATAATCTATACAACGTATAGATGTTCTGTGTGTCAAAATTATCTGTAATAATTTATTTATTTCCAGATCTTTTACTTATTAAGAAACATATCGTCTTTGCAGCAGTGTAATCTTTACATGTCACATAAATAATTATCAATGCGTTTTTGGTAGTTAATGAGGTGATTAGAATTAGAATAATTAAAAATTATCTCATAATTATTTATAAACACTTTTTTATACACAGTTTAGCTTTTCCTAATCCAAGAGAATTGATAATTTTGTCGTAACGAACATAGTTCAACATTCTATAAAGTTCAAGATGAAGATATTTGAAAAAGAAAGGGAAATATTACTAAGGTTATTTATTATTTATACATTTTATATATCTGAAAGTCTGTAGGTATTAAATGAAACAGGTGCTTACTTTACCAGGCAATATCAGAAAACTAATTGATAAAATATAATATTTTTATTGCAATCTAATACCCTTAACAGGGGAAAAATGTAATATACGGACAAAAGTGGTATTTTGTCATATTACAATTATATTTTGTAGCCGAGTATAATATATACTGAATCAACAGTTATAACTGGGTCAAAATCGACTGATTAAATTTGAATTAATAATATCTCATTTATATTTACAACAAACAAAACAGATGCGGTCGAACGTGAAGCATACGTTTGAAATTATTTAATATTTCATAAGTTATTTTTATAAATTTATGTAAAATACAATTAATTTATTTATTAATTAATTAATTATGATAAATTTATTTAGAAATGATTTATTTCATGCCATTGGAATATGGAACAAAAACTATTGTTCCAGAATTAATAATTAATTATCATGATGGTTTTAAATTGAAAATATTCAGCCCTGTGAAGAATAAATGTAAGAAAAATGTATGAATTCTTAAAAAACCTCGTAGACTTTGCAAAAATAAATGCGATGGTCGGGAATCGAACCCGGATCAACTGCTTGGAAGGCAACTATGCTGACCATTACACCACCATCGCTGTTGAACAATGATTTCTTAGATAAAAGTAAGTGGTTTTCTGTTTACTTTCTCGTTTTTTTGCTCTAAGCGTAGTTAAATCATGTTGCAATCTATTCTAGGTCAATGAACAATTTGGTTTTGTTCTAGATTTGAATATGCTAAATCCTAAATCCTCATTTGAACAAGCCTGACGAATTTTTAAATCTTGTATAATAAAATCCAATTTGTTTTAATGATTTTGTATCATTGTAAGCATTTAACTTAGACCCTCATGGCTCAAACCTTGGACCTTTATTATTCCTTCTTTTTATTAATGACATTTGCTAGATATTATTTGCGGATGATATAAAAAATCTTTAATATTTTTTTAATCTTTATAATTTTATTTATTCCACAGGTGACTGCTTTACACATTGTTTTTAGGTTTCGTTATGGAGTAAAAATGCTGTTATTATTAGAATTATTATAATTACAAACATTTAAGAAATTTTAAGACTAGATTCCTCCATAAAAAAAAATATCAATACGTTATATCAAGCGGCTGAGGTATTTGCCAATATTGGTTTCGAATTTGAGACAATTGAAAGGCTTGCACGGCCGCTTTGATTAACGCACCGGCAAATGAACAATGTTTAAATTTTCATAATGATTTCGGCATATTTTATTATCGCCACGTTCGGCAACGGCGTGAACAATAATTAATTAAACTAGAACCCGTGGGGCACGGGCGATTTGAGCGATAAAATTCGTGATTTTTCACTCCTGGACTTGGGCCTGCAACTAATTTCCGGAAAACCGGCGATGAATTATTCAGCATGTATGAAAATTTAATAGACCTTAAAAGCTCCCAATTTATATTACTTGTTATATATTATTATGACCGGATGAATTATTCATATCGCGCTGTCACGATAATCATAGTAATAATAATTATTTATTTATCGCGATAGGAAGTTAATAAAGTTTGTGTTGAAAAGTGTTAAAAAATAAATATCTTCTTGCTTGTATACAGGGTGTGGCGTGTATAATCTATAAAAATTAAACTACAACCTCTTAACGATATTTGTAATAGAAAAGTCTTATACGAAAAAGTTCTATTTTTGCGGTTTTTTTCCGTAAATTAAAGTTCAATTATGGATCAAAATATTTTCTTAATTCTGACCAACATTTAAAAGATTGTTCTAAACATACCACGTGACAATAAACAATCGAAGATCAGAAGCACATTTATAAGTAGATTTGATCTTAATTTTTTTCTGACTTTATAGACAGTATTACAGATAGATAAAAAAAAACACCACAGAATTAAATTACATCTTGGTTGTGCCTTCCCGTCGCACAAAAACAAATGAATGCTTCGTAGGTAGTCTAGACTCCGCCATAATGGAGTTTTCTAATTATATGCACCCATCGGAAACCTAATCG